CCATTATTTCCTTTTAGTCCGTCCCCTGGTGAGAACGTGACGCCCAGACACAAACACCCCCCATCCCGCCTCCCTTTCCCTCCCTTCTCCGTCTGTCTGACCTTGTTTCAATCTTTCCAACCTTCTTTTTTCACTGTACTTTCTCATTCGAGTTTCCACCTCTCTTCCTTTCATCTTCTGTCCACTTCTTGGTCTCGCTCTGTCATTCTGAATTTTCTTGTGTTTTTCCCCCCTTCTTTTTCATTTCCTGTATAATCTTGATTATTCTTAGTCTTCCTAATTTACATAACACTATCTTTTCCTGTTTCCATGCTTCTCAAGCTCTTTTTTTATTCGACCTTTAAGAGAATTTGCATAGGGGGACATATTTAGGGTTGCACAGCCAGTCAGTACTCATTTTTCATGGCGTTTGGCTTTGAGTAATGGTAAATACCTTCCCCTGGTCATTTGTCTGTTTCTTCTCCGTTTGTTCCACAAAGAAGAAGTTTTATTGAGAAAGTTAAGCATGCAAAAATGACTAATCAGCAACTTGTTTTTTGCCTCAGCTTTATCTAAACCTTCTCTCTCCTGTTACAGCATCAGAGGGTTCAAAACAAATACAAGGTGAGATGCAACATTTTAAACCCAGTGTATTCCATATACCATGTGTGCATCGATACATAGCTTTGGTTATAGCATATGTGTAATTTCTTCTGTGTCTCTTGTCTTTTCTCTCAAGTTCAAATGTGCTTTATTTTATGAATGCAATATAGTAGTTTATGTAAAGCCAAGAATACGGCACAATACGTAAATACATAAGAAAAAAACTAAAACAAAAAAATGAGAATATACACAAAAGAAATGTTGATTGAACAGTAACAATGGAGCCTATATAGCCAAAAGTGTTTGGACACCTACTTATTAAACCACGTGTGATTCTTTCTGCCCAGAACAAGGGGCATTAATGGGCTGCTGCAATGGCTCTTACAGATACATAGATAAAGTACTGTTCTCCATCTGTCCGTCTCCAGGGGACGATTCTGGTGTTACAGTAGCAAAAACAAGCAAGTTTACAAACTGCCAAGTTGACCATGAGTAATATAGAAAATAAGTTTTAAGATATATAAATAATAAAATAAAAGTAGAAAAGGAGCCTAAACACTAATATACACACTGAGCTACACTGGATATTAATGCAAATCTGATGGATCATCTGTACAGTAAGGTACAGATATACTATACTAAACTATATATACTGTATGTACACAAACACACACGCACATATAGTTTTTCAGAGGAGAGGCTGTCTCCCCCGACGCAGAGGGGACTCGCTGTTCAGTATAAATGCAGT